GTCAAGCTTTCTGTCACTCCGAATACATCCATAGCGGGTGAAGTGTATCATCATCTCCAGACTTGTCTCTGGCTGGTCACGTGGTGTCTGGTGCCCCGCCCCGTGCACCACCACGCGACAGAAGCGACCAGTCCTCGAGTAGTATCCCTTCAGAGCTCCGCCCCCTCCAGGCTTAGACCCCGCCCCCTCCCCCCGCCACAAAGAGCGGCCGGTGGCGTTGTACTGAGCCTGCAGGGACCAGGGAAGAACAAGGAGGGCAGACTCCACCATGACAGAGCTCACCACTACGTCATAGTCCCCCGTGTACACCAGCACTTTGTAGTTGTCCATCAACGTCGCCATCTTGAGTGACGTGGTCTCCAGAAGCTCCGCCCCGAACCGGTTGTACAAAGCCACGTTGAGCAGAGTGTAGTACTGCCCTGACCCGGCATGCACCGCGCTCCTCACCTCACGTGACCTCATTACCAGCTCGACAAAGGGCAACCCCAGACCTTCCTCTGTGACGTAATTATCGTTGCTGCCAAGCCCCGAGTCGGGAAACACTTCGTTCATGATCTCCGTCGTGGGCATAGATTTGACCTTCCCCTGTCGAAAACTCTCCGTGATTTGTCGCACGCTCTCTTTGCCGTCCATCATGGACGCGTGGGAGAACGCGCCGAGCGCGTACAGATATTCCGGAAACGCCAGACTTTCTGTTGGTGGATCGAAGTAAGGCCCTCCCAAATAGATGCCCGTCAGAGGCATGTCCGTCAGTTTCCGAAGTCTGTGTTCGTGGATGAGATGGGCGAGGGTAGGGACATACTTCCCAGCGTAAGACTGGCCGCCTATGTAAAAATCTCTTTTCAAATATTCGGGAAACATGCGGAAAAACTGTTCCATAAAAGAATAGAGCTCTCTGCCGTAGTCAGCCTGCAAGAAGCGATGTCCCTCCGTACCTGAGTCGGAGAAACTGTAGCCTGCCCCCACCGGGTTGTCCACGTAGAGCATAGAGAAGTTCCCCACCCACGTGTAAGGGTTGGCTCTCACGTCTGCTCTGCTCGGGTCAATCCCCAAGACCGGCCCGTTTTCCCACAGCAGTCCCAGCATGGACGAAAGCGTCGGACCTCCGTTCAGCCAAAGCAGAAGTGGTGCATCTCTCGTGGTAGGAGATGGAAAATGCCAGAAGAACATGTGGTTTCCGACGGTCTTGTTCACCGTGAAAAATCCCGCGTAGCTCCGCGGTAAGGTGATGTTCGGGAAAATCCCTTCTCCCTTAACGTGGCTCAACTTGCGCGCCGTGCTGATGTCACCGTTGTCAAGGTAAGGCGTCAGTAGCAACGGTTTATCGCCACCACCACCACCACCACCACCACATATGACGTATAGAGGAAGAACAGAAAGGAATGCGATCCGGACAGATAGCAGTGATGGCGTGGTCAACTCATCCATGGCGTCTGTTTCTTTCAAATCTCAGTTCTGGAGAAATAAAAATATTCAAAAAATTAATAATTATAAAAATGAAGGAATGGAGACTATACTCAATAGTTGCGTCTATTCGTACACGTGTCCATTTAAGCTCCAGTGTATATTCGTACACGTGTCCATTTAAGCTCCAGTGTATATTCGGACACGAGTCCATTTAAGCTCCCGTGTAGCCTATATTCGTAAATGTGTGTCCTTCTACCCTAGCATGAATGCGAGTACCGTGCATTGTGTGTGGGTCTTTTTTTCTTTTTGAGAATGACGTACATCTCTTTCTTTTTGGTCCAACGCATCTTTGCAGTTGGCATGAAATTGCATTCTATTTTTTCTATTTGTAGAATGATTTTAAAAAAATAATCGTGACAGATTCGCTTCTTAGCGTAAATGGACATCAAAGATAATACATAAAAAGATGGGCCACTCAGCCAAAAAAGTGTCCGCAGGAAGTTCGCTCTTTGCTTCAGATGGCGCTGCAGTCTGTTTTGAAGCTCTCTTTCGTTTTTCCAGAAGAAGAATAGGAATAGCACCTCCTTGCGTGCGCAGATCGACTGCTGTTCAATACTGTTCATCAGCAGTTCGGGTTCGTTCAGTGTGGAGTTTTAGTTTTTAAAAATTTTTAATGACCT